GGGTTGGGGCAGGCGCGGGGGTGGATGGTGGGGTGCGGGGGTCGGTGGTCCCCACTGCCGGGGGTCCGGGGGTAAAACTCCCACCCCGGCTTGAGCCCCGGGGATCCCCACGTGACAACACTGGACACCGCCATCTTTGGTGATTTTTCATTTTCTTTTTTTTGTGACAAATGCCATAAAAGTTTATATATGTGTATCTTACATAATAGAGAATTTAGAAATAAGATTTGAAAAAAATTCAAAAAATAATAATTCTTTTCATACCCCGAAATAAAGGAAAAACAAAAAGTGAAAAGATAACAAAAAAAAATTAGTGAGTGGGCAAGCAAGTTTTTTTTTTTTTTTTTTGTGAAATCTGTCGAGGCTAACCTCTGACAGGAAGTGATAAGAGCATCTCCTTGTCTGAGGGCCCATCCTTAGATACTCCGTTCCATTGGTGGGGAGCTGCACCGTCTGGAAAACGAGTCCGATGTCCCTTACAATGAGATGTGGGACAATTATCACAGAAGTAAAGCAGCAGGATCCTGCGGGAGGATGTAGTCCTCCTTCTCGTCCCATAGGTGCCGTGAAAACACTAGTTGTTCGTTCGCTAAGAAATGAACCCGTTGGGACTCTGAAGCCCTGGAAGTAAGCAACGAGCTCCTAGCGGTCGGGAACATTGGTAAGTTATTTCAAGTCTTTCTCCATTCAGCTAGAATTAAATTCCTGACTGCATTCTTGACTGAGTTGCGCAAACTAAGGACCAACCAATAAGAATTTTTAAACCTGCGGTCCCGACGAGCTATCGAGAGAATCCAAAATCCAGTAATACGAAATTTATTTGCTATTGTTGCTCTCGATGATTTGGACTGGTCTCCAAAAAGGACCAGTGTTTTTGTGCGGTAGGAAAAGTCTTTATATGCAGCATACCATAGTCTACCTATCCAGTCCCAAAAGCCTCGTTCGACCTCACATTCCCACCATAGGTGAGAAGAGTCCTCCAAGGACAAGTGTGAGCAGACGTCGCATGTCGATGATACTCTCATTCCTCTTTTTGCACACCATACTGCAGTGGGTACGCAATTATGCAGGTGAAGCCATTAAAAGCCTGCCAAATTTACTTCTAGTATATCCAAGATTACAGAAATGAAGAAAAAGACCCAGTTAAGGTCTCGCCTTTTTTGGGCAAGCAAGTTTTCAGACGTACATATTTGTCGATTATCATTTTGTTTTGGCAGAACAAAAGGCCTTCAAAATTAAGAGGAAGATAGCTTACAAAAGGCCTTCAAAATTAAGAGGAAGATAGCTTACATCACAAATAACTCACCCAACACAATTTAGAAAAAAATAATAATATTTAGGTGTCAAAATATTTTTTTGTGGGGTTCAAATCCCTTCGGGTTCGGGCCCCGTACGGGGACCCGAACGCCAGAACGTTCGGGGGTCAGCTTAAGGGCCTCCGTACGTTCGGCCTGGTAACCCTGTCTATGTATATATATATATACCCGAACGCTCAAAATATATATCTATACAGACCCTCGAACGTTCGAGCGTTCGGGTCCCCGTACGGGGCCCGAACCTGAAGACATTCGGACCCCGCAAAAACACATTTTGGTTCCTAAATATTATTTTGTTTTTCTAAATTGTATTGTTTGAGTTATTTGTAATGTAAGCTATCTTCCTCTTAATTTTGAAGGCATTTTGTTCAGCCAAAAACAAATATAAAACCGGCAAAGATGGTGGTGTCAAAACTTGCTTGCCCACTCACTAAATTTTTTTTTTCTCTCTTTTCACTTTTTGTTTTTCCTTTATTTCGGGACATGAAAAAAATCTTATTTTTTCAAACTTTATTTGTATATTCTCTATTATGTAAGATACACATATATAAATTTTCATGACATTTGTCATAGCCAAAAAAAAATGAAAAATCACCAAAGATGGCGGTGTCAAAAACATGCTCACCCACTCGATAATTTCATTCTCTTTTTTTTTTTTTCATTATTATTATTTATTTTTAGTATTTGATTTTTATTTCAAATCTGGTAAAGAATTTGGAAGTACCGTTGAGGCAAATGTTGTTGAATTCATTCTTTTGTATAACATATTGTTTTCAGATGTTTGGGAATTCGTTTTCTTTTTGTTTTGTTTTCTTTTGGGGGGGGGGTCCGCGTTCGGCCGACGGCCGAACTCGTCGAGAGGGAGTGCCGAACGTTCGGGCGTTCGGGTTCGAGTTCGGGCATTCGGCCCGTCCCGAACGCTGCCAATATATATATATATATATATATATATATATATATATATATATCGTCAAATAGAACTGCCCGGTAAACCGTAGGCAGAGAGGGAGAAGAGGTATATATATATGTATATATATATATATCGTCACAAATAGAACTGCCCGGTAAACCGTAGGCAGAGAGTGAGATGGAGAAGAGGACAACAAACGAGGGGCTGTGACAAACTGTTTCGTCGGAGTTTCACCGACTCATCAGGAGGCTGAACCCTCAACAGTCTGTAGAATCCCCTCACTGATTACACTGTAAGTGATAATCCACCTTAACCAAAATCAAAGTAGACTATCACTCACCCACACCAGATGGAAAACTCTACAGACTGTCGGTTCACACCCCATCACAAGCCAGCAAAACACCCACGAAACAAAGAAAGGTCTGTCACAGCCAAAAAATACACTCCAGACACGCCGCTAAACCGTAGGCAGAGAGGGAGAAGAGGACAACAAACAAGGGTCTGTGACAAACTGTTTCATCGGAGTTTCACCGACTCATCATATATATACTTTGGCTATAGGAAATTCATAATTAATATATATATATATATACATAGTCAAACACAGTTTCCCAGTAAACCGTCGTGAGGGAGGGCAAAGAGGAGAACAAACGAGGTATCATTTTTCTTTTAATTGAAAGGGTCAAATGCCCAAGGCTTGTATTGATATTTGAGAAAATTGAGGCTGGGGTCCTCGCAGTCTACCCGGAGTAACGAACATATGATGATGAGGACGGTGATGATGATGATGATGATGATGATCAAATTTATGATTTCATCATTTCTGCTAATCAGAATCATGATGTCAGACCAGCCACACTCCAAGTACTAGCCAACAAGGAAGAATAATCAGGAAGGCTAATCAGAATGTTCTCTACTCAGAACTTCAACATGGAAGCCTATCCTAGTTCCAGGTGTTTCTACCAATTCCAGCAATTCTTATCTGATGTTGTGTTGTGTACCAATCCCACCTCTACCCAGTCTCACACCCTCTATTAACTAAGTTACAGAGCAGCGCTACCCTCCCCAGCTCTGACCATCTTCCCGGTGGGCTGGTGGCAGCTGGATTACGGCCCAAACAACGGGAATCGAACCTAACCGCAGCAAGTGGAAAGGTTCGCTTCCCAAATTCAAACTTGTGGAGCACTTCAAATTTTTGCGCCGTCATCCAAGGACGGCTCAAAGTGAAGATGCTTCGAATTTTTGCAGTGGTGCATGTAAATGTTCGAAGGAACTGAGACAGTGGGGAACGGGGGGATGTGGGTTGAAAATAATTAGGTACCGGGTCCAGGCTGGTAATTTTATTCGTTCAGGTGTGGGTGGGTCAGGGTGAAGGTTTTTTACGCGTGACGGGCAGGTTGGGTGTGGGAGGAAAATTTCAAAGAGACACTTTTTCAACAGTGGCCCGATCCTGCTTCGCTTCCGCATTACCCGGCACAGAATTGATTTTCAAGCATGGTTTAACGTGCTTTTCGAGGTCATCTAGTATCCCTTGCCCAGGGGTCGATTCCCAATAGCAGCGTTAGGTTTCCTCAAAGCCTGAATCTGGACGTGTTTGTGGAGATGTGCAGATTAGGAAAACTGAATGCGATTTCTGCACATCTCCACAAACACGTCCAGATTCAGGAGTTGAGGAAACTCAACATTGCTAGTGGGACTGGGCCCCAGGTGAAAGGCTCACACCTGGTACTATCCCTAACGTCATTGGGAACGATGACCGCGACTTATGTTGCTCGCTCCGTGATGTCGTTGGGAACATAAATAATGACTATACATAGGAGGATAAGTACTTGCTGTACATAGCAGAGGATAGATACTCACTATACATAGCAGAGGATAGGAACTGCGCTCATCCAGCTCCTTTTGTTTTCTGTAAATGAAGTCGGTCTGTTCGCACATTTTGTTTTTGTGCTTTGCTTGCCTGCTGGCTTTTATCGATGCTGTTCATTCTGTGATGCTTTTTTTTTGTTTTTCGCGTGTACAAGCTTTTACTTCAGCGGCCAGGTCCCACTAGCAGCATTGAGTTTCCTCAATATGCCTGAATCTGGCCATGTTTGTCGAGATGTGCAGAAATCGTGTTACGTTTCTTCAACCTCACATCGCCACAAACATGACCAGATTCAGGCATTGAGGAAACACAATGCTGCTAGATGGACTTGTCCCCTGGTAGGTATCCATCTGGCTGTTATGGGTTGAACAAGCAAGTGAGAGCGACTGCGAGTCCATCATAACCGTTCTTGCCTAATAATGGCCTAGTCTTCTTTTTTTCTTTCTGTTTTTTTTTCGTCATCAACTAGGACCTAGGTCGGGCGACGTTGGAATGCCTCTTCATTGGGTCGCCATCAGTGTGAGGGATGCCCAGCCCGTTTCCTGGCATTCTGTAGTCAAGTCGTTGTCAAAAAGGGGACCAGGGGGGTGGGTAGGGAGACGCAATTCGAGAAGACCAGGGTCCGACAGTTGCAATGTCAAAGAACGGGACCCAGATACAAAAATAAAATTGTCGACAAAGCCCCACACTGTACGTCATAACATGCAGAGATGCAGAAATGAAATCTTAGATCATGCCCTAAAGCCCAGAATGCCGTCATATCATACAACTCCGTCGAGCAAGAAGTACAACAAAAACTGGGCCTACGTGCACCAATAAAGTCTGAAAACACATGCAGAACGGAACTTGGAAATGAAATAATATGCACAGACAGAGAGAGAGAGAGAGAGAGAGAGAGAGAGAGAGAGAGAGAGAGAGAGAGAGAGAGAGAGAGAGAGAGAGAGAGAGAGACTCACAAAGCTAGAGAACAGAATGATATCGCAATTTGGGTCCTGACAGACAGAGCTAGACAGTTCATGGAAGGCGACTCGTAGAATCAGCAGCAGTGTACGAGTCCACGTTCCCTTTACCACTAACACACAGTGGGCAAAAACACTCTTCCACCATGCAAAACCCCTTCTCATTCTCCGCCACTCTCTCACTGGGGCTCTCCCCCCCCCCCCCTTCTCTGCAACTTGAATGACCACCCACACAAATATGCACACGGGAACACACACACACACACACACACACACACACACACACACACACACACACA